AGGGGACCTCTAATGTGAAAGGAGTGGACTCTGACATGAAGGAACACCCTACTTAAGGGTCCCCCATTAAACCCCATACCGGACCCCTATCTCGGATAAGGGTCTGGTATGGATTTTAAAGGAACCACGTCATTTTTTGTTTTTTACATGTTTACATTTACATTTTTTTTTACATTTTAGACTGGGGTGCCTTGAGATTTTTCAAACTTTAACCCTTTCGCTGCCAAGGACGTACGGCATACGGATCTGCAAAAGTGCTTTAAAAAATAATTAAAAAATAAATAGAAAATGTAAAAAATAAAAATGTAAAAAATTAATAAAATAAAATGTGTACAAAAAAAACTAATAAAAAAAGCACAACCCCTCCCTCCCCCCACATAACATACACATATTGAGGTGTACGCCATGCACATGCGCTGCAGTGCGTTGTTAGAACGCATGGCAGTGCATTATTTTTTTAATGTATTTTTTTCGTTAAAAAAAAATTAAATTAACTGTGGCAGCGCATGGCAAAGCTTTGTGACGCATTGCCATGCGTTGTGATCTTTGTGTTGCAATAAATATACGCCTGTATCATTTTATCACAACACAAACACCAACACAGCGTGACATTTTTTTTTAACATAAGTTGCTTATTTACAGTTTTGCGTACCGTAATTTTTTTACCTTTTCGCAAAAAGGCGCAATTTCAAATTTGCAAATATTTGTTATTTATTAACTCAATACAGTTTTATCTTTTAGATTTAGTCAGAAAATTATTATTTTTTGTGCGCTGATACTGATTTTAGTGTGTTTTATCAATTGAATTGTGTATTTTTATCGGTTTAATATTAATTTGAGAAACATTTGCGCAATTATCGCAGGGCCTACAAATTTAGTATCACCATCTTTTTATTCTACCGGGCCTGCGCTTTCAGAAAATATATGGTTTGGGGGGTCTTTTACAAACGCTAGCAACGTAGCAGTTGAAAATCAAATCAATAGGAAAAAATTGCAAAAATGGCCATGCTGATTTGAAAAATGTTCCGGAGGGCTTGGCAGCGAAAGGGTTATACCCCTTTCGCTGCCACCAACGTATTGCATACGGCGGAACACAACCGCTTGCAGCTGGCCACGTCATTATGCCATACGCTGGAGGCTTTTACCCTTCTGCTATAAGCTCATGGTCACTTTAGTGACCATGAACTTATAGCAGAAGGGTTCTCCTGAGTCTCCCCTGAAAAATTATAACAACATTTTTTACCGTTTCACAATTTATAATTTACATCTGTTTGTTATTTATTAACTCAATACAGTTTTATCTTTTAGATTTAATTGAAAAAGTGTTTTTTTTGCACTGATACTGATTTTAGTGTTACTGGCGAAGCGGACGGGGGAGGGGGCGGGCACAGCTGGCTCTGCCTCTGGATAGGCAGAGCCAGCTGTCAATCCTGCAGCTGGGTGGATCCTGACAGTATTGTCGGGATCCGTCCCGGCTGCGGGGTCTCAGTATACCGCAAGCTGTAGTTTGCGGTATACTGATCTTTGGGTCACGGGAGAACGCTAGTTTGTGTTCTCCCGTGACCCTTAGGAGAACTATGGGGAAAAGCCCTGACCCCATAGTTCTCCTTTAAAGAAAATCTTTAAGAGTAGGTATGTTTTTGCAAAGAATAGGGAAGGTTTATGTTAACTCTTTTATTGCAGTCATTGTCATGTGTCATTTCATGCACAGGATACTGCACATGAAAGTAAACCAAGCCTTCTTAACTGTGTCATAGCATAAATGGATACTCACTGGGGTTCATTTACTAAAAGCAAATAGGCTATTCACTTTGCAAGGGAAGTTTCCTTTAGCTTAGTGAACAAGTTAAGTTTTGATGACTTCCCTCACCTAAACATGTAAAAGCAAAAATACTGTTTTTTTTAAAGTGATATTAAAAAATTTCAAAATGTTTTTAAGCTATTTCAAATGCTGAATAAATCACTTACCATGGATGCTGCTACTGGATGTTTAAAAGTTGTATTTTCCTGCAGAATCAGCTGGTCCCCTGAGCACTGGCCCTGATATCCTCTTTTTTGGTGGCTCCTTTCCCTTGCAGGGTTTTATGGAGCCACCCTTATGTGTGCCAGTAAGCCGTGTGTGTCTCCACAAACACACAGGCACAGCGAGACAAGCCACTCCCCTGCTCCACAACCCCCCTTCCTCCCTACTCCCTCATTCCTTCTCCCTTTTCCAAGAGGATTGGCCAGCCAAGGTTAACCCTTCCTACTACCAGCATACCTCAGTTTTTTGCTACTGTCCTAGTAGGTTGAACACCTTTTCTGTAAAAGACTAACCTATTTTTTCTAGTGTTGTTTTTTTCTTGTCTTCAACATTTCTTTCTTCAATCTTCTCTACACTGCTACTAGAGCTGGTCTTCCCAATTGCAGGGCCCCTGGCATTGTCTCAGAGCTTGCCCTGCTTCTAAAGACTCACTGTGTGAGTACGATGGTCGTGATGAGCAACAGAAGTTCCCTGAAGTATACAGGTCGCTGGACACCAATTGCCCTGTCACCCTCTGGATTCCATCACAGAAGGGGTAGCACTGTGGAAGCGAACACTAATGGTATCTGCTGGGTGGATTGTAACACGATTCCTTTCCTGCTATTTAGTGTTGAACATCTTCCCACTGTTGCTCCTGTTTTGCAAAGAGCCAGGAGGAACTTCGATCTGCTACACTCCTGCAGTGACTTTGGTCACTTGTGGCCCTGACCATGCCTCTTGTCTGCACCTCGAGAGTTCACAGTACTACACCTGCTGTGCTCTTGTGGCAATCCCCTTACACAGCTTTAGGCTTGCCCCCCACACACACACACACACATTGCTGCATGGTCACGGGTCGCCCACTCCACTCACACACACACAATGCCCACTGCACGTGTTTATTCGAATGCAGATGGTGGGGGCAGGGGTTTAGGGGTTTGGTTTAAATTTTTATTACTTTTTTACTTTGTTTTTACTTAATTTTTTTTACTTATCACCTTTTTTTTATTTTTTACATTTTGATCTATTTACATTTTTAGCTTGTTGTTTATTTTTTGACAATTTTTTTTCACTTGACTACAGGACAGGAGCCGCTGTGTGATAGCATTTGGAGTTGACAGGTTCTCTTTATTGACCCCGCAAGTCCTCCCCGCTGAGGGAGGACTTGCAGATGATTGCAATGGTGAGCCGGCAGTGTGCGCTTGTGTACCTCGGGTCGTGCTGCTTTCGCCTTGCGATCGCGCTACCACCCCGCCGAAAATCATACGATTTTCGGTCGAGTTATCTAGCGTGCTCGATCCCAGTGTTTGCCCCTGCACTTTATTATCACTATAAAAGGTTGTGTCCTCTTTAATGTGGTACTGGGGTCACTTTTGTATTCAGCTCCTTCTCATACTCCAATGTCCTCAATGTGCATTCTGTATTAAAATGTGCATATTGTACCCGACAACCAGTTTTCTGCTGTTCTGAAGTTTAGGTCATGAATAAAACATGTGATTGAGGAAGGGGGAAGGGTCTGTCAGGTAGGCATGCACAGGGCCGGTGCAAGCATTTTTGCCTACACAGGGGAAGGTGCATTCAGAGAGCTGGCTATGCAGCCTTACACTAGTGCCGGCCCTGATCACATTGCTCAGTCTACCCCAAAACATGGAGGCATTACCTCACTAGGAGCAAATTGCAATTTAAAGGCTAAGTTCACTTTGCTGACCATGTTTTATGTTACACCCATATGTAGAGTGAAACATGGTCAGATTGCAAAACCCCCCACCGC